TGCTTGACCGGTGGGTTGCTGGCCTCCGAGCATACAGGAGCTTCCCACTCTGACAAACGACAATCTCGGGATGGTGACATTCAGCTGTTGTGGATATTGTAAACATGTCTGTTCAATCTGTTTACATTCCCCCTGAGTTGGCACAGCTTTCCTAATGCCTATGTTAATAACAAGGTAGAATTGCAATAACAAATGAATTTCATTTAGTCTACAGCTAAAAGCCTTGGAAAGTACCCATCTAAGGCTGAAAACCAATTTCCACTTAGCTTTAATTTCTCTTTTAAAGAGAAAAGGAAATTCTGCTACTGAAATTACTTTGAAAGTCATGGCATCATCAAGTTTATTTTCTTAGTCATTTTTGGCTTGTTTTCTCAATATAATTAGAATTTAATTATTCCTAATCTCTTCATAGAAATATATAAAAGTTGCTGTTCTATGACAGTTTCATATTTATGAAGAACATATCCAGTTAGAATAGACTTACCAGATTTAACCAATAAAAATACAGTATATTCATCTACATTTGAATTTCAAATAAATAATGTTTAAGTACTTCTATCTCATAAACAGGATAGAATCGTTCATATGAAAATATTCATTTTTTTAATCTGAAACCCCAATTTGGCACATACTTATACTAAAATAATATCCTTTATCTATAGAGCATTGCCTACCCCCACCCAGGATGTCCTATATTTGGGAAACTTAAATCAGGGTGCTTTAATATCTTGAATCTATAATTCAATACAAGGGTCAAATCCATAATCAAGATTTACCAAAAGTATATTTTCCTACCGATGGTATCTTAGCCTGGGCAGGGTTTTTTTTTTTTTTTTTTTTTTTTTTTTTTGCAGGGGGGCGGGGGAGGCAGGTGCTGGGATGGTAGGTTAGAGGAAGGGCCAGAGGATAGTAAGAGGGAAAGTTGGTTTTAAAGATCAGTCTTGAGGTTCTGTCCCTTTTTCCTGATCAGTCTGATGAACAATGGCATTCTGACTTTTGTTTGAGCAGCATCCTAGCCCAGCTGCTAGCTCTTTATTAATCATTCAAAAGATTTGGAGGCTTTCAGTGATACCTGTCTTTTAAAAAATAGCTTCCTTCTGCTAATCTGGGTTTTTTTTATAGGTATTAAAAGTGAAACGGTTGCCTTGCAAATATTTGTCAAAGATCTAACATCAGGACATAATTTGTATTAGTTTTTCTGCCTCTGACAAGCTGTTCCCCTTGTAGTCTAAATCTAACAGCCAGGCTTCTTCCTTAAAATCTCACTCACTTGACCATTTTTCAGACACTATCCTCTCTCTGATAGACTGAGCATTCGTCTCATTTCCTGTCCATCATTCAATTTAATAAGATGTATTAAAGCAATAGGCACAGCAAATGGTTCACGTTATGAAGTTCTTTAGAGTCTGGCAGTTTGGGCTTTATAATATAATAAGGGGAATGCACTAGACTTTACAGGTTTATAATAAGGGGAATGCACTAGACTTTACAGGTTGAGGAGTCTGTTGGTGATATCGGTAAAGGCCAGGAAATGGCTTGGCAGTCAGAAGCACTGAGTTCTACTCCAAATTATGTCCCTCGCTGAGTGACGTTGGGTATGTTACTGAACGTTTCTGAAACTTTTAATAATCTATTTTAGATGACTGTTGTTGGGCTTAAAATAAAAGATTGTAGGGGAAATATTTTATGCAAAGTGAGACATATTTATAAGCACTTAGGAAAGGCAGCAATTATATAGTAAAATAGTTAAGTTGCTACAAATACATTGTTGAATCTGGACTAGCATGGTCTGAATAGAAAATTCTCCATTTACTAGCTATGCAAATTTAGGGAAATCACCTAGCCTCTCTGAGCCTCATTTCCTTACCAGCATTATGGGAATAATAATCACAACTGTGGTGTTAGAATTATGGAGAGGACAAAATTGATTAATTTGTGTAAAACTCTTCATATAAAAAAATGCATGTGAAGAGTATCATAAGCAACTGAAAAATGTTAACTTATTTTCATCACCATGTTTGTCATTATTATTATTACAGGAGGCAGGATTTCATCAAGACAAGTCTTAATGGGCTTGTAGCATTTAAACAAAGTATTGAAAAGAAATTCCCAGCCAAGGGGGCAACAAGAATAAGAGCAGAGAAGAAAAGAGCAAGAACAGTTTATTTAGGAGTCAGAAAAAAAGTAAGTTTGACCAGAGAATAATGAATAGGTTAGAAAGCTAAACATGGCAGATGAAGGCTTGAGAACTGAAGAGTTTGATGAAAGATGAAGGTGTCTCTAAATCCTTCATTACCCAACAGTGAGTCTTTCATGCTTTCAAAACAGAGGAGTAATGCAATTAAATTAACCTGGTGGTATTGGTTTAAAGTAAATTAAAAAGAGAAAACAGAGACAGGAAATTAGGGGACTCTGCACTGTTTCAGCAAGAAGTCAGGAGAGTTGGTAGCTGGGCATTTCAAATAATAATACAAAAGAGAAGAAATATTTCCAGGATTGTAAAACCAGACCTATAGAACTCAGCAACTATTTAGAGTAGGAGGCTATGGAAGAAAGCCAGAGAAGGAATTGTCTGAGCATCAGATCAGATGCAGATTGGTAATTGGAAGTCAAGACCATGTATCATGGGAAAAGCTATGCTGGGTCTAGACAAGAGTAAGACTATAAACTTGCCAAGAGACAACAGACAACCCAATGGGAGTGGAGAATAAATTGCCACAGGCTGTCAATGGGAAGCAGAAGTCAAGACATAGATGGTAGCCATGGACAGAGGGAACAGCAGCACATAAAAAGGTGCATTGTGGAAACAATGTGCAAAGGGGGAGGATTGATAAAGACAGTATCAATTTCCGCTCCAGTCTCCTAGAGGGGCCCTCTTAGGGCTGAGCTTGGAGTTCCTCTTTTCTGGTCTTAGAGCACTGGGGTAAATTTGACTATAGGCCTCATCAGACAGTAGTGGAACTGTCGGTGTGTCTATCATACACACTGTTCTGTTGGTTAAAATTAGCAGTGCCTGTATTCTCAATAAGTCTTTAAAGAATGAACAAATGAATGAACAAGTCAGTGGCTCTTGGAACCTCAGGGCTCCATGTCACTTTTGCTTCATTGGGTTCTTTCCAGCATTAACAAACTAGCTTCTCACTGAGACACAATTAGATTGCTCTTTGCTAATTTCTTTAAGGAGCCTGATGGAAACCATCAATGGTTCTCAAAATGTGTTCCTAAAAGCCTTTGAAGTTCCATAAAATACGCTCCTCTACCCTACCCCATCCCATACTCTAGAGACAATGACAGTCATATAAGCTGGGGAAAAGAAAAGAGCTGTCATAATTAAAATGGTTGTGTACACTGGACATCATTCTCTAAGGCTGTGGTTTTTAAATTTTCTGAAATTTTTTTAAGTTTAAAATAACTTATCTATTCTTAAAACTACAAGTTGCATTTAAAGGAAGTCTCATTATTTATATTTCAAATATTGTCCAAATATCTTAAATTGCAACCTAAAATTCTAATCCCCTCCACCATTATTCTTCTCACTGTAAACCAAAGTGAAGAGAAGAAGGAAATGGGCATGTTCCCCCCTCTCTGACTGTGGTTTATTTTCTCTAGCATTTTCTGTTTTCCTATCACAGACCTGAAGGTTATCTTCCAAGAAGCTGAGGAACACATTAACACAGGTTGTTCCTGAGAAAGTCAAAGCTTTAGTTCAGGCTCACACTGTGATTCTGTTTCAATTGGTGAGGGATGGAAGCCAGTCAAGCACTGGTGTGCTGGAGCTGGTTCCTGAGAGCCAATTTCTGCTCTCTTTCTCCAACTTTGCAGTCAATGATACCAGGGAGATAGCATAAAATCAACCGTGCTGGCAGGATTTACACCATAGAAAACATCAAATGCTACAAGTCAGGCTTTTTTATCCCCCAGAGATCCAGCATGTCAGAACAACGTTCAAATATTTTTTAAATTTCCCTGAAAAAAATGAATGCATGGATGGCTTTGAGAACTGCTGCAAATAAAGGAATATACTCGATGAATTCATTTTCTGAGGAATGTTATATGTCTGCAATTACATGTTAGTGCCTCACTTCCTGGTGCCACAAACATACAAATATTTTATATACTCAGTGCACTTCAAAAAAGAAACCAAAAAACCTCTATGTAAGTTCTATTTTTAACTGACTCAAATGTTGATTAAGAGTTTGCTAATTTGGAATTAAAAATCCAATCACTGTTTTTAGAATCATAGAATTTGAATACTGAAGGGGATTTAAGACTTATACTAGTCCAGATATATCAGAATAAAAAAAATAAAACCAAAACCTAAGATGACAGAAACTGAGGCATATGATATCCACCAACTGATGTCAAGCAGTGCTAAGACTGTAAGGTCTGTCTGCTACTTCACCCCCTAAATTTCCATGTATGTTTATATGGCAAGTTTGTCTTTTTTTTTAAAAAAAAAAAGATTTATTTATACAAGCACTGGGGTACAGGCCAGAGGCGTGGGAGGGTAAGAGAATTCACCAGAGACAGAGCAGGGAGCAGAACAGGCAGAAAGACCGAAATACACTGCTGAGGGGAGCAGCTGGCCAGACAGGAGAGGTCTGCTGCACCATGTGTCTTTAAAAGGAAAGAAAGAAACAGAGTTCCATTATAATTTCTTAATATTCCTGAGGGGCATTTGAGAGGGAATAAGGTCCATGATTGTAGAAAGGCTTCAAAGTTTCAAATGAAAACGTCAACATATGACCCACACCCAGGTAAAAAAAAATTAATAGCACGTGGATTTCCATACCGCATCATTTGAGTCCAGCAAACACTTGTATTGAAATCATCTCTCATGGAAAGAATGCTTCCCTTCTCACAGGAAGTCAAACAATTACCACAGATTAGTGTGCTGTGATCACGGTTTCCCAAGCACGTAATCTTATGCACTCATGAAAAAATCAGACATTCCTGGTTGGTCTTTTTAACCAAAATAAGGAGAAGAATAAACACTGTACCCAGGCAAGAAGCAACAGATTTCTTTTCACTGTTCCACAGTATCCTAACATGCCCACAATGATGAGGAAGCAGCAAACAGCAATCATGACCGGATGAACCACAGGAAAGTAAGTCAGGATGACAGCCTCTTCAACCCTGAAAGAAGAAAAATCATGTCATTTATAAATAAAATATAATCCAAATGCACCCAGGACATAGTAGAAGGAACAACTGTGGTTTGCGTTAATAATCTTTTTAGTCAACATACCTCAAAATTGATGACTGTATTGCTTTTTCAAAATCACTAATTTGCTTGCTTGTTTTATTCTTGTATAAGGTGGTTTAGTTTTCTCTACAAGTGGTACCATTTCTACCTCAACTCATTTAAAATATATGGTACGGTAGGTGTCCTCAATAACAAGTCAATCTATTATTAGCTCTAAAGTCTTAGGCTAAGGAAACCACAAGGACCATTTGCTATTTCCCAGCTAACAAGAATCTCCTTCTGCTTCTCTGATCTAAGTCTCCATGTGCTGTACTTTCATTTTTCCTGACAACTGGTCCTTCCCCAGAATGTGATGACTGCTATGTTAAGAAGGAAAATTGGTCCATATTAAAAGAAAGAGGGAGGGCCTCCCCAGTGGCGCAGTGGTTGAGCGCTGGGCTGCGAAGCTGCCCACAGCCTCTGCAGCGCCGGTTTGATGAAGCTGGCGAGTGTCCCACATGGTGCGCAGACCTCTCCTGCCATGCCTGCTGCTCCTCGCAGCAGTGTATTTCATCAGTCTGCCTGTTCTGTACCCCGCTCTGGCTCTGGTGAATTTTCTCACCCTCCTGTACTTCTGACTGTACCTGGCTGTACCTGACTGTACCCAGTGCTTGTATAAATAAATAAATAAATCTTTAGAAAAAAAATAAAAGAGGGAGAAAGATGATTTTTGCTAGGAAACTATAAAAAAATATCATTAACCAGAAGCGTAAAAATAAAGATAACAAAAACTTACCATTACTATACTAACTGCTTACTAAGCTCCACCATGGTAAAGACTTTACAAAAATTTTTTTTCTCAGTTAACTCTTACGATAATTCAAAGTGGTCTGTATAAACTCAATCTCTGAATAAACTGAATCTCAGAGAAATTAAGTAATTTGCTCCTTGTGATGTTAATGGAACAATCCTTGAAACTGGAGGAGAAAGTGACTTTTGGGGGGTATGACTTTCATTAGCTCAGGAAAATAAAGGCAAGAAGTTGTCAAGGAAAAGTACTTATGCTGCCTTTTATTCATAAACATGACGTGGCTGAAACAGTCAGGACAGGGACAGAACTACCAAACCCAGAAGTGTGTCTATGGCCTGCGGCACCCTTAATAAGAATACACCAGTTCCTTTAATAAAGGTTGTCACTCACTGGAGGATCAACTTTCCAAATGATGGTGGAAGAACACAGCCATCTAAACAGCTAGAGGCAAAGTTACTTAGAAACTAGCATATGAGGAAAACTGAGGAGAGAAATCAATCATTAATTATAAAGCCTACCTTGTCTCTGCAGTTAAAGTCAGAACATTATTTAGGTAGTCCCTCATCCAAGCTGAAATTGCCAACACACTGATGGACATTAGCTGGGGGAAAAAAAAAAATATACAAACTGGTTACTGAGGACTTATGCAACATCCCTTGCCGGATTAATACTTTTGAAAACGAAGGACTTTCATTACATAACTATTGTTTTTCCTAATTACCATTTGCCACCTGTTGAATATTGCTATAAATATCTGTCATTCTGTTTTGTAATCGTATCATAGCCACAAAATAGAAAGTCACCCAGTAGGATACAGAAAGTTAGATGGCTGATTCCAGGTTCAGGATGGAAATTGCTTAAGATGAGAAAGCCATAGAACAACTAAATCGTCAAGCACACAAAATAAGCCTAAAACACACTGTCACATTTAAAAGCAAGGAATCAAATACTACTGAGTTTGTCCCAAAAAGTCACAAGAGCTAAACTGAAAAGGGCTTACATTGGTTAAATAATAACACAATGATTGAAACATATCAACATGCTAAAATCTATGAAATCATAGTAATACTTAAAACTCAGTGATCTTAATAATACTTAAAACTCTGGTATGAGGTTGGACACTCAAATTGTTATTTAGAAAACTGCCAAGAATTTAGTATTTATCCTATCTTTCTTGCATTCCTGCATAGCTAAAGAGAAAACTGAGGATTTATTGAAAGTTTTCACAGAAGAATTTCAGCTAACATGTACAAAAAGCATGATAGAGTATCACTCTAGAATAATGATAGAATTTCATATTTAACAATCCATTCTGACATAATGCACCTCTGGGTAAAGATCCTCTATGGCTGACAAAATAACCAAGTCAATGGTTTTCAGTGCCATTTGTACATTACAATTACTGAGAGTTCTTAAAGAATTACTGAGCCCAAATCTACTCTGAGAGTAGAGTCTAGCCATCAGAAATATATAAAGGCTCCACTGATGTCCTAATGTGTAGTCAAGGACTGAGAACTACTGCATTATGTGAAAGGCTGATGGAAGGGAGCCATCAGGCTGGTGAAAAATATGGGATCCCACTGATTGGTCTCAGGATCACCAAAGAGACAACCAGACTCAAAATGTCTCTTGATGTGATGGAATTTGAGGTACACAAAAATACCCTGTATTTTTACCAAAAAGTCAAACCTGAATGTAATCAAACCTCCAGCTCTACTTATAGGAAATACAAGGAAAAGTGCTAAATGTACTACATGCCACCACAGGAATACAATCAGCAAAATTGAGAAGATGAGAAATTTTACTGGACAAATGATCTGGCTTTTTCAATTAAAAAAATAAGTGAAAATTTTTTAAAAAGGAGAAACTCTTAAAGATTAAAGGACATTTAAGAGGTTACCCAGTGCTATATGTTAACCTGTTTTAGCTTCTGATTCAAACCAACCAAACACATGTTTCAATATGACCAGATATTTGATAATACTAAGAAGTTATTTTATTTTTTAAAGATTTATTTATTTATTTATTTGTTTGTTTATTTATTTATTTATTTATTTATTTATACAAGCACTGGGTACAGTCAGAAGCACGGGAAGGTGAGAGAATTCACCAGAGCCAGAGCCGGGAGCAGAGCAGGCAGAAGGACCGAAGTACACTGCTGAGGGGAGCAGCGGGCGGCAGGAGAGGTCTGCGCGCCATGTGGGACCCTCCTCTGGTGGCCGGGGAGCAGCCGGGGATCGAACTGGCACTGCAGAGGCTGCAGGCAGCTTCACAACCCAGCGCTCAACCGCTGTGCCACCGGGGAGGCCCAAGAAGTTATTATTTTAGATGTGATAATAATTAACATTATTTTCCAAAGGGTCCTGATCTTTTAGAGATGGAAGAATTATGAATGGAATGGAATGGTGATTGGATATTTATTAAATAATCATGATGTGTGAGGGTTAGATGGGAACTGAAGTTGATAACTGTTGAAAGTGGGAAATGGATTATTGGGAATTAATCATGCTGTACTTTCTAATTTTGGTATACATTTAAAATTTTCCATTATTCAATTTTTTTTTTTGAAAAAGCACCTTTGTAGGATATGCTCAAAATGAAACTTCATAGGAAACTTCTAAAAGCTGAAAGATCACCCTTAGGTTCTTTTCCATTCTGATGAAAATTTTTCTAAAATGTGCCTTAGACTTGTCTTCTTAGGCACATTAAAGTGCAATTCATCTTAATTTAACTTTTAATAACCTTTGCCATCTTAATGAACATCAATTATCATCTTGTGTTTCAGATTAGCTATAAATTCTGACAAAGAATGTACAAGGTAGGGATGAGTGTACTGATTCAAGTAGTAGCCATGAAACATGTTTTCTGGAAACAGGTTCTGTGGTAAGGAAAATATGCAGTGCTCTGCGACCTCTTTTACAATGGAATGTGCTTACCTGCCTGGAAAATCTGCTAGAGGATACACTTGTTCATCATTCAGTTACAAACATTTACTCATCACCTGCTATCTGCTGTGTATTGAATGTGGTAGATTCAGAGACCCAAAGGCAATAAGAGACAAGATCTCGCTCATGAGCGCGCATGTGTGTGTGCATACACGCATGCATGCACGCGGACACACACACACACTTGAGGGACACAGAGAATTAATTTATAAACCAGGCAGTTACAGAATGTTAAAAATAGCATGAATCACAGAAAAGTGAAGTAACCTGTTCATACTCTCACAGATTCTAAGTGGCAGAGCTCAAATTCAAAACCTACAGGCTTTAGAATTCTAGGCTTACTCATTAAGTGCCTTCCAAGTTTAGCAGTGAGCATGGTAAGTTCCACAGACAGGGAAAGACTAGTCTGCACAGCATTCAGGGTTCCTGTAAAATGGACAGCGGGGGAGGGGATCAGAAGAGGACAATAGGAAGCTGGCTGTAGGGTGAAGCTCAGTCTGAATGTCTGAACTTTATTCTTTGATAAACAGGAATTCAAACATCAATGGCTTAAATAAGGTTAAGAACACAGGGACCCCAGCTCAGAGAATTAGGCCAGTTATTGTTATCCTCATTTCTGTTGGGAATGAAGAACAGATTGTAAAGCTAATAAAAGTTACCTAGCAGGTCAGCTACAGTGTATTAACCATGTCTCTAACTACCAAAAACTTAATGCTTTAACATCTGTTCTACATACGTATGCTGGACACACCTTAGTCTGGACAAACTGATAACACGCCTGAGTCACCTGACCTGGGCCTCCTGCCTCTCGGGTTACCTGCTTTCCATAAGGGAGTCCTTCTCTTAGGGACATGCTTTTCATTTTCTAATACAAACCAATCAACTTGGAGCTCACATCCCCAACCACATTATTTATGGAGGTATAACATCTGGGTTACTCTACACCTGCTCTTGTCACCCCAAAGCAGGTGCCAGCCCACTAGGAAAAGCCCCTATGCTCCACAGTTTGCTGAAATTATTCAGACTAGTCATTCCTAAACTTGTTTACTACCTTGTCTGTTCCTTCTCATGGAAACCACAATAAAAGTACATGCCCACGTGCTCTCCCTTCTCTTGAGATCTATGAGTACAATAAACTTGTCTTTTCAGTGGTAGTCATCTGTTCTGCTGCCCTCCCCATATCTGAAATAATAACATAACCTATTAAAACATGCAGGGCTAGCAGAAGACTGCAGACTACTTGATTAAATCTGAGGCGAGGTGTTCTCCCTCTGCATGGATACATGTGGGTCTCCAATGCTCTGCAAGTTTAATGGGAACCAAAAATCTATTAATGTGAGATTCTATTTAACTAACTTGTAAATAATCCTCTCCTATCTTTATTATTCTTTTAAGTCATAACTTACCTTGGTTTCTCGCTCTTCTAATTTCTTATAGGCTGTTTAGTCAATTTTCAATAAAGCTCTGAGGCAAGTGTCAATAAATTATTGAATTCTTCATTTTGTATAATGTATTATCAGTGGTAGTCATATACAGTTCTTCTACTTAGAACAAAAAATACATGTATTTCTTTTTGATGGCACATGCCAGAGCATTTCTAGTAAGGTAGGACAGTTTGGGTTTGGGAGTCACTTTTCCCTTTAAACAGCATATGTTCATCCGCTGCTCTTTGCTAGGAACTGTGTGATATGCTGGAGACACACTGATGGGCAATACCAGGTGCCATCTCTGTTCTGTGGTAAAATTAAGTCAAAGGGATACACATTAATCAATTGAAAATTGTAACAACTACAGGGAAGAATAACACAAGTTGATACAAGAGCATCTTTCCGGCTGACTAACTTATTCCATGGAGCCACAGGGACTTCTCTAAGAGAACGGATATCAGAAGGATAATATCAAGTTCTATCTAACTGGAATATTTTTTTGGAACAGCAAAGATCCAGGAGAGGAAGGCTACACCACTAAGTTGAAAGAAGGGAAATTGTCACATGGTGAGCATGGAAAGCCAGACAGAAGCCAGATCACAAGGACTCCTAGAGGTCATTTTAAGGCATATGGTCTTGACCATGGGCATCCACTGAATCAAAAAGCCATGGTTGAATTCTAGCTCTGTTCGTTTTGTGCTATATGACTTTGGGTATTTATTTAATCTTTCCTAAGACTCCATTTCCTCACATATAAAATGTTATGATAATAAGTACCTACTTTATGGAATATTTGATGGAAAAAAACAGTAAGATTATCACATTATCACCTCAAGTCACTTTTACCACAATGCTATCTCTTCATTTTTCTCAGTTTGAAACTAGAGAAACATTAAATCAAGTCAGAAGTAGAAACTTTAGGTATTTGAAGGTCTAACAAATGGATGTCAGGGGAGCTCTGTCATACAGCTACCAAATGGACTACCATGGCCATTCTCAATGTTGACATCTCTAAAGCTGAACCATTCATCCCATTTCTCTTGAAGCTTGTGTATCCCTCCCACTGTGTTTCCATCACAATAAAGGCCATCACCAGTGCTTCAATCATATAAACTGACAGTTTGGCAGGCTGTCTGAACCTCTCCCTCTTCCTCCATCCTACATCTAATTAGTTTCAAGTGCTACAGATTGTTTCTGCAACACCTTTGGTGAATTTCTCCCTCTTTCTG